AGGTACTATATATGTATATTATACTTCATTTTTATGCGATGGAGGAAAAAACTGAAATTACCAGACCTATGTCGGTCTATGGGGAATCAGATGTAAACCGTCTTGGGTCTGTTTACATCGGGTTAGTCCCACTCTAGCAGGATCAGGTCCAGTGAAATAAAACTTATCTGTTTGTTTTTGCAGACCTAGCCAGAGCCAGGGGTAACCAGATCTAAATGGATGCCCATCTGTTTAGATCTCCCTGCCCATAGACTAACATTGGGCTTCTGATCAGGTCCTCCTAAAAAACTGACAGCCGGACTTGTTCGGAACACCCATGTGAAAGGGCACTTACTTTCAATATTTGTATCTTTTTCATCAGCTGTTTCCTAGAATGTTGCAGTTTTTTTCATTTTATGTACAATGTTTTACAACAGCAATATTACTGCCAAACACAGTTATAGTTGGAAGCTAGTTTATAGACTCACTTTACAGTTACAATGCCTTGATTTGCTATTCCATTACAATGAGCAAGTGACGAGATGAACCTGAACCACTGAGTGGGCAGAAAGAAAAAGGAACAATCAGGATGCAACTCTGCAACAATCCCTTGGCAACAAAAGATTTCCATACCCCAAATTGTGTAAAAATGGTACAAACAGTAAACTTTATTAATAAAGGAGAAAAAGAATGGTGCTATAACAAACACCAGCACAAAGCCAAGTGACAGATGTAATGTACACATAAAAACAATAAAATCAATTTAAAATAGCCCGCATACTTGCCACCAAAGTCCAGGTAAGCTGAATGTACCTAGCCAGCCAGGAAACTCAAATCTTCTAGGCTGATATGACCCGCGCCATAGTGCAAAATACATACTATAGTACCCCATTTAAAATCTATGTGCAATGACAAAAAACACTTGCTGAGGGATGGTATGTCCTGTCCTGTGCTGAAGAAACAATTGTTTGCCAGGGTATGAGTGGGGCTTCTCCACCAGTGGAATCCCAAATATGTTGCACTGTCTTTTACTTTTATATCTAGTTTGGGATGTTTTCTTTTATGTGGACACAGAGTGCTCAACCTTTCCTTTGTTATACTGTTATGAGCATCAGTACGGCCATGTCAGCACCTAGTTTGGAGCTTAACAGCAGGTGAGCAGTGTACAACTTTTGCCCAGCAGATTCATTGGTCTTTCCTATATATCCAGCCCCCAGTATATACACCTTACTACCCTCTATCCAGGCCAGTGCCTCTCATACCTTCCAGCCCTCCTTTCTTACACATACAGCCCACTATCATACCTACTAGACTCATGTTGACTCATGTCAAACCCTCTATACTCTTCTCCTGTAGATATTGACCGGTGCCATTCCTTCCGCACTCCTTTTTGACACATACTAACCCATGTCATACATGCCACACTCCTCTCCTACAGATACTGATCCATGTCATACCCTCTACACTTATCTCCTACCTACAGATACTGATCCATGTCCTAGTCCTACCCTCCACACTCCTCTCCTACAGAAACTGATCCATGTCATACCCTCCACACTCCTCTTCTACAGAAACTGATCCATATCATACCCTCTGCACTCCTCTCCTACACATGCAGTACTCAAGCATGTCCATGTTAAGTCAACAGGTGATCATTTTTTATGATTAGTTTTGTGGACTACTAGACAAGCTACTGACACTAAAATATTATGGGAAGCCCCCTTATGTTCACAGACCTCCTGAGAACATCTGACTAGACTCAGTGTAAACCAAATGGTAGTTGGAGGGTACCCTACTACTTTCCTACCAGAGATGGGAATCGATGTGCAGATTTAGCATTAAGGTGACAAAAGTCGGACAGAGGAAGTAATGAGGAGGTTTATTATTTCAACAACTTCTTCTTCCTCTAGGCAACATTTGTGGTTTAGAGCACACACGTGCACTTGGTATTGAAGCATTGTGATCCTTCTTGTGTTACAAGACGCTCAAGTAGTATTGACAGTTTACAGCCTAGGGGGACAAACAATATGCTAATATAGGGTTCCGTAACAGGGAAAGGTAAAGGAGATGAATAGGCTGACCATACATATGAGAGGATTTTCAAAGGTTCAGGTACGATCCAAACATCAAAAAATACAGCATAAACATTTGGCCAAAACAGGTAGAACTAAGCGAAGATCACCAAGATCCCCCATGGCCACCATTAGAATGGTTGCACTATATTTTTACATAACAAGCAATGAGTGGCTACAGTGAAGACTGTAGAAATCGCTCCCCTGCAGGCTTCTGACCAAGGTCCCATAGCCCAGGTTACTGTAAATGCCACTTTCATCGCTGGGGGTGTTAAGAGCTTGTCTATCTCTTCTTGCATGACTAGGGACCATGGGGAACAAAAGTAGCCCCACTCCAGAAGGAAGGACAGTGTCAGCACCAGTTCAGAGATGATTTGAGGATCTACAGCCGAGTGATACACAAATAAGATACATTGTTGTTAATAGTTAAGGTACTTGAATGCATTTTAAGTAGGGATGCACCAATACCATTTTTCCAGACTGAATATGAGTACCGATAATTTTCCTCAAGTACTCAGATACCAATTACTGATCCCTTTTTTCTGAGTCATTACTAGAATGATACAGACTAATGATTTTAGGACAGTGGTGGAGCGCCAGGGCTGGTCCCAGCTGCAAACGCTGTGACCCTGGTAGTTCTGCCACTGACTCCAAGCTGTAGAGGGACTACAAATCTCAGCAATACATTATACAACAATGCAGAATAATACCATCAGCTATAGAGGACTACAAATCTCTGCAGTCAGATAACCTGGTACCTTGGCTGGAATGAGGAGGAATGCTCTGCAGTCAGATAACATGGTACCATGACTGGAATGAGGAGGACTGCTCTGCTGTCAGATAACCTGGTACCATGACTGGGATGAGGAGGAATGCTCTGCAGTCAGATAACATGATACCATGGCAGGGATAAGGAGAAATGCTCTGCAGTCAGATAACATGGTACCATGGCTGGGATGAGGAGGAATGCTCTACGGTCAGATAAGATGTACCATGGCTGAGATGAGGAGGAATGCTCTACGGTCAGATAAGATGTACCATGGCTGGGATGAGGAGGAATGCTCTGCAGTAGCCCCTATCGTAATTTTGGTTGCCCCTGTCTGCCTGACATCATGTGTCCGGGTTTCTGCTGCCATGAAACCTGGACACAGCATTCAAAACCCGAACTGTCCGGGTGAATCCTGGACAGGTGGCAACCCTAGTCCCAATACTTTTGGCAATATAGTGCGTTTAATGTTTGGGGGTTTTCAGAAAATGTCAGGCCTAAAATGTGCATTATAACATGGGTGCAAAAAAATCAAAAACAGGCCTTTGTATTTAAGGGTATTATAATAATAATCTGTACTTTGCGGAGGACACGCCCACTCACATTATAAACATTCGGCCACAGTATTGATGGACTGAGCCGAGCGCCTCGCACATCCCCCCATGGCCACCAGAGGGCGCTGAGGGTAGCACTAGCACTCCCGGAGACGCTGGCAGCCGCTGACGTCACGTTACCAGGTGACGGGAGAGACGCTGAGATTAGGGGAAATGCGGAAGAAGTAGAGCACGGCTCATGCGCAGAGAGGACCGCTCCGAACATTTTCAAAGCGGCTGTAATAACCGCGGAGCTGGCCGGGCTGCCGGGCTCATACCGGAGCTTGTGGCGTGTGCGGGGATGGAAGAGGCCGAGGAGGTGGAGGTGCCTGAATATTACAGAGATGAGGAGGAGGGGGGAGAGGAAGATGGAGGAGGAGGAGGGAAAGAGTTCTATGAATTCCAGCCTCTGCCAACCCTGCTGGAAGATGAGGTGAGCAATGCACATCCCTAATGATGATCAGTGTCTGTCCTTCCCCTGATCCCGGGGATTCCCTTCCTCAATGCTAGGCACAGACAACCTGTGGCTCTACAGCTCAGGCCCAGCCAATCAGAGGCTGTCAGGTCATGTTGGGATTTGTAGTTCTACCAAGACACAGGATGGATCTGTGGTATGGAAGGTAGGCAGCTTGCGGGAGGAGGGCTATGTGTACCCTTAGGTGATATAACCAAACTAGGTGACAGGCACAGTGTCTGAACACCCCCAGACCTGCATTCTTGGGGGGCAAATATTGGGTGGCCTAGTTGGATTGTGCTGGAATTGTTGGGGGGGTTCTGGCAGTCTTGGTTCAGCCCATAGGCAAGCACATTGGGTTTGACATCCATTAATGTGTATGTAAAAAAGAAAATATATGTGAACATATGTTCAGTACCAGAGCTGGCAGGCCCAGGTAATTAGGACCCGACTGATTAGGCTGGGACTAGTCACCTAGACTGGTACTGGAAATCTAGGCTGGGACTGGTCACCTAGACTGGTGTCGGTAACCTAGGCTGGGACTGGTGACCTAGACTGGTGTCGGTAACCTAGGCTGGGACTGGTCACCTAGACTGGTGTCGGTAACCTAGGCTGGGACTGGTCACCTAGACTGGTTCCGGTAACCTAGGCTGGGACTGGTCACCTAGACTGGTTCCGGTAACCTAGGCTGGGACTGGTCACCTAGACTGGTTCCGGTAACCTAGGCTGGGACTGGTCACCTAGACTGGTATCGGAAACCTAGGCTGGGACTGGAAACCTAGGCTGGGACTGGTCACCTAGACTGGTTCCGGTAACCTAGGCTGGGACTGGTCACCTAGACTGGTTCCGGTAACCTAGGCTGGGACTGGTCACCTAGACTGGTTCCGGTAACCTAGGCTGGGACTGGTCACCTAGACTGGTTCCGGTAACCTAGGCTGGTTCTGGTAACCTAGGCTGGGACTGGCCACCTAGGCTGGTGCTGGTAATGTAGGCTGGGATTGGTCGCCTACAGTGGTACTGGTAATCTGAGCTGGCCGCCTAGCCTGGCACTAGTAATCTAAGCTGGAGCTGGCCGCCTAGCCTGGCACTAGTAATCTAAGCTGGAGCTGGCCGCCTAGCCTGGCACTAGTAATCTAAGCTGGAGCTGGTCATTTGGCTGGGGTAACTATAGCCATGCTGTGGCAGTGTGACCCATACAGACATCACTAGGAGCACCCACAATAAGGAAATAATACTCTCATCCAGCTCTGTAAGGTCTGAGCTCCCCACATCCACTCCATTCCCACCGGTGCCATGTGCTTCTCCTCTTCTGGGTCTGCTTGTTTCTTGCTTCACCCATTGGGCCAGGCACTGTTGCTGTAACTCCGATAGCATGTGTATGCACTGTGTATTTGCACAATAAAACACACTTACCCTGGGTTTGCTCTTCAGCGCTGCGGGGTCCGAGCACTCCACCACCAATGCCTTGTTCCTCTCCTCTTTTGGGTCCAGCGTCTTCTTGCATTGTCGTATTGGGTGGGCACTGATCTCGGCACCTAGCTTCATTCTCAGGACTGCATATTGCGCATGCGCTGCAATCACTGTACAGATTTAAAAAATTGCCAGCAGATAAGGTAAAAGTTTTTTTTTTTTGCAGAAGAAGCGTATAAAATCTCTTCTACCAAAAGACTCTTCCCGCTGGCATTTGTCCCCCCTGACGTTAGCCCGCCATTCACAGTGTGAGCTTTTTCATGTTTTTTAGGCTTGAGCGTTTTTGTTTTAGCCAATGGAAAGCTAGGTACTAGGAGGGGAAGGGTGTTGGGTGCAAAAAAAACACATTTTTCAGATGCTTCCATTGAATTCCATGTTGTTAAAAATCCGTGATCCTGCCTGATAAAAAGTTAATGTATTTTTTTGAGTGATACAATGCTAAGGTGTGAACGGGCACCATTGAAATGGTATTCTTCATCTTGAGCGTTGTCGTGCTTCGAAAAATGAGTGACAAAACGTTCAGGTGTGAATGGGGGACTTATGTCTGCTTTAAAGGGCTTCAGTTATGTCTCCCCTTTTGCTTCTTAAATCATATACCAACCGCTCAGTGTCTGCATTATGGCGTCGTCTTTCTGAGCCTGATGAAGGGGACCCTCTGAAAGCGATTTGTACTGGAATGGCGGTATTCCAGCAATAAATGGACTTTTGCTGATTTCACTTTACCATGTTGTGCTGGTGACACCCTTTTGCGTCTTTTCTCAAGAATGTACACTTTAAAGCGTTACTACAACCATCTATATCTTGCAGCCTAGGAAGGTGCCATCTTAGTTTCTATTTGGATTGCAGTTGCCATGACGGTTCTATGACACCAACAATCTGAGGAGCTGAAATAAGCACACTGGCAACCTTGTCAGTTGGCATGCCTTTAACCTCTTGCCGTCCGCCTTCCCAAAAAAGGGTATAAAATTCATTTCAGTACAGCGCTGCATGACGGAATAAATGTCAGTTAAAGTACCGCAGCGCTGAATACTGAAAAATGGCCTGGATGGGAAGGGGGTTTAACACCGCGGATGTCAACTGGTTAAAGGTAAACGTTTTGGGAGACACTCAATTGGTGGGTCAAGTTCCACTTTAAAAGGGACTCTTACCCTCCAGTTGAATACCATTAAAATACTTTACCGATCAACATGATCTCTCACATTCAAAATACATTGGAGTGACTGTGGAGTATGTAAAGTCATGTTAGTTGTGTTGCAGTTGGGAATCGTAAAAACTTGATGGGCAGCAGACAGAGAATCATTGGCAGGAACCACTCTCGTATGACACTGGCCCTTTATAGCTTTACAGGGGACATATCTGTCGTACGAGACGGATGGACCTATGGAAGGCTTAGGCTGCTACTAGCCATACAAATGGGATCCTATTTCCTCTTATATCTTCTTACAGCTATATTAGAAGAACATATTCATTGCACAGTGATGTTATTATCACTTCTGCACCATTTGAACATAAACGATTTAGGTTGTAATTGCCTTTTATCATATAACCAATAACAACAGGTCCATTTTGATTGCACTGATTTGCAAGGATAGCTGGAAAACTCTTGACATCAGACTGAGAATGGCTGAGGATTGTTTGGGTTGGGGCTGCAGTCCAGGTGAGCAAATAGGCAGATGGTTCATCTTTTAATGGCCTGAGACAAAATAGTGGCCAGTGTATGTCCAGCCTTATATAGGTCCCCCTACTTTCACCTGAGCCGAATAACATGTGACATCACAGCAGTAATGGGTCTAATGCTGGTTATACACTCATCAATCTGATTGTTCAATTACACAATCAATTCACTATTCTGTATGAATTACAGATTGATTTTCTATACTAATTGCTTTAGACCAGTTTTGCATTATTAAAGCTAAACGTCAGGCAAACCGCTAAATGCACAGATGAAGTACATACAAGGGAGCTATGTAACATGTTAAGTCATTTGTATTTGTGTTCATCCAGTCCTGAGGTTAACACAACACTGCCACACAGCACAGTTCTATCTGGTAGGCAGGAGGCCTGATTTTCCCCTGCTGCAGCTAAGTAACACTTAGATCTTGGTTTCTTTTGTCTTCGATACTTTGAGTCACTGACATGCTAAGTATGCGGCAACTGAATTCAAAACCTTTGACCTGCATACCTGCTCCAGGTCTATGATTCAAATTATCAAAGCTAGAGATTCAGTATGATTTAAGGGTAATTCCACTTTACCAGGTGAATCTTTGGAAAATGGAATTATCCCCTCCGATCTGTCCCCTTTCTCCTCTTCCCTGCTATACTCGCCTTTTGGTGAATGCTCCCTCCCCTCTGACAGTCTGGGTGTACCAAGTGTACCCTGTACGGTGAGTAGCGCATTCCTGCGCTCTGGATTTTTAATTTTGCTGCGTTGACCAATGAATGTTGGCCATTTGCGAGCAAAATTTAAAATACAGAGCGTAGGGCTGCACTACATGGCAGTAAGGGGTATGGATAATGGGAGGGAGGGAGAGGAGGAGCTTTCACCAAAAGAGAAGTATAGTGGGGGGAGAGGGGGTCAGATTGGAGGGGGTAATTCCATTTTCCCAGATGCCTCTGGGAAAGTAGACTTACCCTTTAAGAATTCCCTAGCAGGGTAAAGCTGTCATCCACCAAAATACTTTTTTTTTTTTTTGCTTGGCTCGCAGGCTGAACTAAAGAAATCTGGGAACGTGGATGGAGGAACACCCTGCCCCTGCCGGGCTATTGTGTTCTGACAACCAGTGCCAGCTGCTGTCCGAATACCTTGAAGCGGATCCCGACAATTAGGTCTGGATCTGCCCAGCTGCGTGAGTGACAGCTGGCTCTGAGTGGCTCCCAGCTGCGTGAGTGACAGAGCCATAACAGGATCGAGAAGTGAGCGAACGCCGGTATGTGTTCGCTCACTTCCCGATCTACTGAGCCGACCTGTGACAGTTTCATTGTCACAGGTTGGCTAGAACTATGAGGTGAGTGAAAAGCACTCACCTCATAGTTATCCTTTTAAATGATGCCTCTTGATCCGATCATCTTCTTCCTTCCACTTGTATTCAAGAGTCCTTACAGCGCTGGTGCCGGTCTCTGATCCGCCGCAGACTCCTGTCTCTTCCTGTCCCACGGTGTCTGTCCGAAATGAGCATTCCCGGCTGCGCGCATTCAGCTCCCCTGTGTCTCTCCTCGCCGAAGATCTGTACTACGCATGCCCCATGATCCTACTCGGTCACTCGAGAATCTAGATCTTCGGACGGGAGCGAGCGGCGGAGACCGAGGTAAGTAATAACCTTTCTGCTAACTTTTTTTAGATTGTAAATGTTTTTGCATATATACCGCTTGCTAGCAGTAGATATATGCAAGAAAACCCTGAAGGTTTAATTGTACTTTAGGCAATTGACTTTTTCTAGCTGGCAGGTCCACCCACTGTTTGGCGGATTTCTCGGGCGCAATCAAGGTGAGTATAAGGGGTTAGGGGCTCT